GGGCGCATATAAACCAGGACATGGAAAATCAGGGAAACGACATCCTTTCCTGCAAAGTGACGTTTTCAGCACCCTACATATCTTTGGCTGCGCCGCAGGATTCGGTTTTGTGTCCGGGCAAGGGGGGGCCTGCAAGCTTTTGGGCCCCGTGCCCGGGAGTTTTCCTGGTAATGCTGCAGCGCAGCATTTTGTCATTGCCGCCGTTTGGAAAAATTGGTTTCTAAGGGTATTGGGTGTCCGGGTCTAGCGTATCTGGGTCCACGGGGCCCTGATCCTTCGCTAGCTCGCCCGTCGCCTTGGGGCCTGCTCGCCGCGCGCTGGCGGCTGCTGCCAGACGTCCGAGAGCATCGAAGACCTGCGCGTGCGACTTATTCTTCGGGGCGCCCATGGCAGCGCGGCAGAGAACGCAGAGTCGCGACGCCTTCAAGAGAGTTCCGTCTGCCAGAGGGCCACCCGAGCAGAACAGGGCGCGCGCCGCGCGCGAGGCCATGTTCGCGACCCTGCCGCGCACGTCGCCGGTGAACGTCTCCTGGGCAACAGAGACGAACTCCCGGACGCGCTCTCGCGGTGCGACTGCGTTGAAGGCCTCCTGAGCCATCTTCGGGATCCCGCCCTCGACCTCCTGCTCCAAGGTGGCGCGTGCGACGAGGTCCGCGCCGGGCTGCGCGAAGGCCACGAATGCCACGAGCTGCCCATTAGCAGAGACCGCGTCCAGGTCCCCGTTCAGGCCCCCGCCTGCCGTCACGCTGTTCCCGTAGCCATCCCGCGACGTTGTCGGCGAGGCCCATCACAGCGCTCGCATCAGGTCGCACGCGTTCGCGGAGCTCGATGTCCCACGGGGCGTGGCTCGGTGACCTCCATGTCGCCACTGGGCCCTCGAGCGCCACGCCGCTCGCAATGATGAAGCAGTGCTTGTCGGGCAGCGGCTGGTCTGTCACGTTCGAGAACGTCATCAGCAGCTTCCCCCAGCCTCGGATTGGCACAGTCGGCTTCCGCCTTTGAGCGTTGTAGTTCATCCAGTACGCGGAGTTCCCCAAGAGCAGCGCGTCCCTTGTCCCGGTTTCGAGACGATTCGGCTGCGTCTCGATTGCAGTCTGCGCGCGGGTGGCCAGCGGCGTCGCGGCGTGCTAAAGGGGCTCCTCATAGACAATGAAGAACGATCCATACGGCGCGCGAGCGCTCCTCCAGAGGGCGGCGTCCTGCTCGGATGCTGGTGCGGAGATCAGGCGCTCGCCTCTCGGCTCCTGCCCGGTCTGCCTCAGGCCGTAGGACTTGCACAGCAGGGCGTATTGCGCGCCGCCCCTGCACTGGGTCGCGAACTGCACGGGCATCTCGCCGGCCGTCTGGCGCTTCTCTGGGGTCTCCTGGCATGCAACGCGCTTCTTCAGCGCGAGGTAAAGATCAGGATCGAGCTTGGGCCCCATGCATGGACCGCTCGGTGGCGCGGGCGACGCAGGCGCCGTAGCACGGGCCGAGCTCGCAGAGGTATCCTGGCGAGGCCGCCTTGATGACACTGTCCAGCAGATACAATCGGGTTCCCGCCACGCGATGGTCCACCACGAGCGCACCCCCTTGCATAGGCAGGTTGCATCGGGAGACTGCGAGCGCACGAGAGCGCGCCACTGGATGGCGCAACGCAGCTCGATAGCGCCATCGCTCGCGACCTCTAGCAGGCCGCAGGCATTGTAGAAGTTCAGGCTGCACCGCCATGCCATCCGACGGGTCCACTCCCTCGACCTCGTTGCTGTCCGGACCTGTGACAACGACGTCAACTGTGTTCCAGTCGATGCGCACGAACCTGGACGGCGACAGGAAGAGCAGGGAGCGTGCCTGCATCTTCTGTTTCGTAAAAAAGCCTCGCAAAGGCCACGTCCTCAAAACTTGTCGAGAGCCATCTGAGATGCCTGCGCCGTTCCGCCTGCCGCGCGCTGTAATAGAAGGCACCGTTCTCTCTCACCGTCAGCAGTCGCAGACGTTTGGGTTGCTCGTCGTTCCCGCCCCACCTGATCAGCTCGGCCGGCTTGCTGCGAACAAAGCCGAACTTCACTTCGTAGATGTTGCCGATCTCCTGCGACAGCTGGCAATTCGCGCGACGCGTCGGGCGACGCGCCGCCATGCCCTCGTCCTCGAGGTGGACGACGCTCGTCCTGCACATTTTCTTCGGCTTGTACCAGGTTTGATTCGCCTCGTCTTCTTCCGCGGCCTTCCCCCAGTCTGCGCCCCCTTCCTCGTCGGAGACGCGCAACCACTCTTCGCGGGCGTCTGCGCGGGCAACGAGATCTGGCAAGGCGTCGCCGAGCGCGAAGACGCAGAGGAACTCGTCCTCCAGCACCGCGCGCTGCTCAGCGATCGACATCTCCAGGAACCGGTTGATGTTCTTCCACGCGACTTTGTCTGTTCTGACTCCCTCATGGTCACCGCCAAGCAGAACTGTCAGCGACTTGGCTGAGATCCCTGCGAATGTCACGGGCTGCTCTGTTGCCGCGCCCTCCATCAGCGCCTGCAGCGCAGTGGGGCCAATGGGGGGCTCTTCGCCCGGAGCCAGCGGGGCGGCCGCGGCGCCCTTCTGCACGCCGCCAATGCACGCGTCGTCGAATATGATCGTCTTTGAGTTTGTTTTTTATTGGGGGGGGGGGTAACGCCCGTCACGGGGGGGGGGAGTCCGGCCCCAAGTTGGGGGTAAGTAGCGCGCGGCGGGGCCCTCGCACGGGCCCTGGTACTTATTACCAGCACAACTGTCGGCACGGTAGGCTTCGTCGTCGTCGTCGTCGTCGTCGCCGCTGTCGTCGTCGTCGTCGTCGAAGCCGACCGTGCATGTGCACACTACACAGGTTCTGTACACCGTGATGCCTTTGTGCACCACAACTGCGGCAGAAATGGTGTGTGTGTGTGTGTGCACCACGGCGACTGAACACATCATGACAGGCGGGTGCACCACAGCGCCCTTGTACATTTCACTGTTGGTGCACACCACGGCGCCCGCGTGCACCACAGCTGCTGTTTCAACGCCCCGTGTTTGCACCAGAATGACAGCGTACACCACAAAGCTTGCGTACACCTGTAAGGTACCGGCGGAGCGAAAGTCCAGAAGATCGTTCGGGGCCCAACCGTGGCCCTTTCATTATGTGAGCTGCTTGTGGATATGAATTTTTCTGGTTCAAAAAACGCTCGGACTTGTTGGGCCCACAGCGCCTGTGCACTCCATTGCGATTGTGTACATCATGGGAGTGTGAACCGTGGCGCCTGTGTATACCACATGGCATGTGTGCACCACAAAGCTTGTGTACGGCTTTTTTTTGGGCGGAATGTAAACCACGCACCGTGGGGGCGCGCAGGGCGGCGGCAGCCTAGGGAATACAGGAAGCAGGAGTTCCCTGCACAGGCACAAGGCCCTTGAGACATGGGTCGACGGCTGGAGCGCGCACGCGGGTGCGTCGTCGTCGTCGCCATCACTTGCGACGGCGACCGGGGGACCGACGGCGGCGGCGGCGGCGACACGGGCGGCGGCGACGGCGACCACGACGACGACGACGACGACGACGGCGGCGGCGACGGCGACGACGCCGACGGCGGCAAGCGGCGGCGGCGGCGGTGAAGGTGACCGCCGCCGCCGTCACCGCCGTCGTCGTCGCCGCCGATGCCGCCGTCGCCGTCGCCGCCGCCGCCGCCGTGTCCGCAGCCAGTTGCCGAAAGCTTCAGCAACGCTTGGGGCCCACTTGCTGGATACACATGCGGGGGGCTGGCGTGACCAGCCATAGGATGCGCCCCCAGGGCGTGCCATAGCTTGCGCCATAGGTTGCGCACCCAGGGCGCCCCACAAATCGCGCCTACGTTGCGCCTTAGGTTGCGCCCTCAGAGCGTGCCATAGTTTGCGTCGATGGTTGCGCCACAGGTTGCGCCAAAGGCGGGGCCACTTTGTGGCGCTGCGTTTCAACGGAACTCCTGGCGCGCGCACTGTTCGGGGAAACGTCGCGCTGGCAGGCGGGCGTCGGGACTCCGGGCGCAGCCCGCAGATCGGAGATGGATGATCGGAGAAGGATGATCGGAGGAGGACGCTCGGAGGGACCAGAGGAAGATGATCCCCCTCCTCCTCCGATCCCCCTCCATCCTCCTCCTCCTCCTCCTCCTCCTCCTCTTCTGCCCCCTCCTCCTCCTCGTGCCCCTCCTCCGATCCCCCACCACCTCCTCCTCCGATCCTGTTCCAACCCTCCTCGTCCTCCTCGTCCTCCTCATCCTCCTCCTCCTCCTCCTCCTCCTCCCTCTGCCTCGCTCCCCCCTCCCCCCAGGAGGTGAGAGGAGGTGGAGGGCACGAGCACTGGAGGGAGCGCAGAAGCAAGGCAAAGGAGGTGGAGGGGCCAGGCCTGACCCGCTGAAAGGTTCGCGCCGAGGGATGCGAACCTCGAACCTCGACGATCGAGGCATCCTGGCCCTCGAGGGCCTTCGTCGTCGCCGCGGCTGGACGCGGCTCGGGAAACTGGCGCGTCTGAGCCCCAGTCGGGCCCCGTGGACCCATTTTGAATTCGCGCCGAGGTTCGAACCTCGAACCTCGAACCTCGAACCTGAGCACACATGTGAGCGTCACAGCATGCCTGCCTGGACGGAGGGGGGGCCCGCACCCCCGTCCCCGTGCGCTCGTTACCGTTACGGGGGGGGGGGGGGGAACCCCCCCCCCGCAGCGGGCGTTACGGGTCCGAGCAAGAAAAAAAAACAAGCTCTTTTCGTGCCGGTCTCGGATGGACATCTCCGCGTTCTTCTTGTAGCGCCCCCGCTTGTTGGACCCGGGCTCTCGTGCGACGACGCCCAGGGCCCGTGCCGCAAGGTGGGGGCTGCCCTGCTGCATCAGGCGGTTCAGGGCCCTGATGATCGGCGCGCCATTCCGCGCTCTGTCCCTGCTGCGGAGGAGTTCGCCGTCGCAGAACATGCAGCGCGACTGCCCGCGCTCGGGGTGCACGCGCGCCCTCTCTCCTGGGCGGTCATCGGTGGCGTAGACACATGGAACGTCTGGCCCTCCGCCAGAGCACAGTAAGACCAGGGTTCGCGCCCACTTCTCGGGCCTCGCGACCTCGTCCGCGGCGGATCCGCCCTCGCGATCTGCGGCGGCTCCAGGGTCGATCACCCCCATGTCTCCCAGGTCGATGAGTGCCGCGTCGCCCTCGCGGAGGAGCGCCCCTTCGGCGCGGGCCTGTCCCGTCCACGTCGGGCCCTCGAGCTTCTCGCCGTCTCTCGGCGGCGGGTCTGCGGCCGCCTCAACGTCGTTGGCGTCGCCAGCCTCTCGATCAAGCAGCATCATCATCATGTCGCCCTGGTTGATGAGCGCGCCTCGACGTCCTCGCCGAGAAGATCGTCGTCGCTGCCGGCGCCTCTGGGGTCTACGGGCCCCTCCCCGTTTTCGTTGTGCCCCTCGAGGTTCTCGTCGTCTCTCGGCGGCTGGCCCGCGGTCGCCTCGTCGTCGCGAGCAGCTCCGGCCGCGGGATCGAGCAGCATCATCACATCGCCCTGGTCGATGAGCGCCTCGACGTCCTCGCCGAGAAGAACGTCGTCGTCGCCAGCACCTCTGGTAAGCACGGTCTTCTCTCCGTTCTCGTTGTGCCCGTCGAGGTCCTCGTCGTCCGTCGGCGACTGGCCCTCGGCCGCCTCGTCGTCGCGAGCTGCTCCGGCCGCGGGGTCGAGCAGCATCGTCGCGTCGCCCTGGGCGATGAGCGCTTCGACGTCCTCGCAGAGATGAAAAACGTCGCTGCCGCACCTCTGGGGCCCGCGCGCCCCTCTTCGTCGTCGCCGTAGCTCCGGCGGCCCTCGCCTCCGCGCGCACCCGGCGCCGCGCCTCTCGCGCGGTGCTGCGGTAGCGCGATGTGCCGGTGGAGCTCCTGCTGCTGCGTGCATGAGCAGGCGAGGATCCAGCGCGGGGATTCGCAGCCTTTGCTGTCCGCATGCATCTCGAACTTGACTCGATGCAGCCTAGGTCGCCGCTCGTCGCCGACGACGACCACGCGCGCGATGGTCTCGCTGTCCATCGGGGCCGGGGGCCTCTCGACGCGATCGCCGATTTGCTCCGCCCAGGGCGCGCGCATGTCCTCGTCGACCACCTCGCCCGGGCGCGCGCGCTCCTGCTCGCGCAAGTATCTGACGGGGTCGTCGATCTCGATCTGACCCCCCAGAACCTCGGCGCAGTAGCGGAGCTCGCCCCCGCCGGGGTAGCCCTCTGGGCCCGGCTGCCCAAGTCGGGCGGCTGCTGCCGCCAGCCCCTTGGCGTTCATGGCGCCGAGCACCATGTTTTCGATGGCCTTGACCTCGGCAGTGCCCTGCCTGGCCTGGTCATGGCTGCGGCTGAATCCGCTCGGCTTCCTGCCCTGCCCCCAGTCGCGCGCGCTCCTCGCCGCGATGGCGCAGAATGCGAGGCAGCGACCGTCGGGCGGCGCACCCGATCATGCACAGCACAACGTACTGATCACATCTCGCGACCACAGCAGTGACCCCATTCAACCGCTGAGTTGAAATTGGCTAGCTCACACGACCACCTCCCAGACGCCGGCCGCCGCCCCGGGCCAGGGCCTCGCCGCCGCCGGCGCCCTGGACCTGGCGCGGCAAGGGGCGAAACCGACCTGCGCCGCCGCTGCTCCTGGCGCTGTCGACCCGCAGCAGACGGATGCGTGGCAAGGATGCCAAGGCCTTGGAATGGCACGCCGTCACTTTGCGGGCGGGCGCGGGCGCGGCCGGCGAAGGCGGCCAAGGATGGACCGAGGAGGCAAGGACGCAAGGGTGCCATTGGGTAGGTTGCCCATCCATGCTGTTCGGGTTGACTGCAGTCTCCCAGGGGGCGCGCGCTGACCGGAATTTCGGGGCGAGTCCGGCGGCGGCGGCGAGGGCCGCCCGGGAGGCCCGGCCGTGCGAAGAACGAGGCGACGGCAGCCCGTCCTTTTCCCTTCCGCGCCGGAAATCGGTGCCCAAATTTGGTCTGTGTGTGGCTACCACGATCTACGGGCGCAAATCGGTGCCCCAGTTTAATCTGCGCGCGGCTACAGCATCTTACTGATGCAAATCGGTGCCCCAGTTTGGTCTGTATGTGGCTACAGCAGTTTACTGACGCAAATCGGTGTCCCAGTGCGGTCTGTGTGTGGCTGCAGCAGTTTACTGTCGCAAATCGGTGCCCCAGTTTGGTCTGCGTGTGGCTACAACATTGCACCGACGCAAATCGGTGTCCCACTTTGATATGTGTTTGGCAATTTACTGAGCCACATCGATGTCCCAGATTGGTCTGCGCGTGGCTACAACATTGTACTGACGCAAATCGGTGTCCCAGTTTGATCTGCGCGCGCGCCTCCAACAGCTGACTGGCGCCGACGCAAATCGGCGCCCCAGTTTGGTCTTTGTGTGGCTACGCCACTTTATTGATGCAATTCGGTGTCGCAGTTTTGTCTATGTGTGGCTACAGCAGTTTACTGACGCAAATCGGTGTCACAGTTTGGTCTGTGTGTGGCTACATCGGTTTAGCGACGCAAATCG